TGCCTGAAAAAGGACACTAGTTTCTGCCACTGGACTCTCCATCGTTTCCAGCATGCCCTTGGAAAAGAATTTGTTCACAAACCTTTCCAATTCAGACCTGCAGCAAAAGGGTGTTTGCACTCCAGTTTGGGCTTGTAATGTTAATTTTCCATATCGTTCTCCACCATTTAAGGGCATTAAATCAGACTGTTTGTGTAAGCTGAGGGTGTTACAAAACTCAGTTTCTAAGCACCTCAGAACTAAAGTAAGATGTAGGAAGTTTTCTAGACAGCATTTCAAGTTATTTATTTGTGGGATTTTTAAATGTCAGCAAGAAATGCATGGCAATATTTATTTTTTTATATCTTCATGTAAAACTAAGTGGATTATATAGCATTGTAGATATTTTAGAACCTTGCAGGAATAGACATGATTTCCTTAAAATTTCCAATTGTTTTTATTTGGTGATCTACAGACTGCACACTAAGGAACTGTATTTAGCCCCGAGGGAGCTGGGACTTTGTAAGTGCATTCTTCACAGATAATCCCTGCTGTTTGCTTTGCCTTCAGCTTATCATTGTGTTTCTTGAAGGAATTCCAGTCCGTTTTCAGTGAATGAATGTTCACTATTTAGTCATTGTTAAGTATTTGTACTTTTTGTTGTGATGACATTGGTATACATGTGATGATTACTTCATCACTTCTGGAATGTGCTTTTTACAAGTAGCTTTAGGAGTAGTCCGGGACAGTGGCTAAGAATAGTAAGAATTCCTTTTGAGATGAGGACTCCAGAAATCCTATTGAGTGGTCAGGTGTGATCAAAATCTGTGTAATGGAGGATATCTTGGGCTATATATCAAGACCCTTTCTCAAAAAAATCCCAAAGACAGCCAGATGACTGGGTTCAAAATTTCTCAAAGAATGTAAGAATAGAAACGATAACCTGGAGTTCTCTTCCAATTGTTGAAGCCTCTTCCAAACAAAATAACCTACTGGTGGTAAATGGTAAATGTTTTAATATATGAGTTCTAAATATTATTTAAGATTAATAAATGGACTTCTAAAAATCTTGGTTTGTTTGTTTTGTGTGTGTGGTTTGTTTTTGTTTTCGTTTTGTTTTTAATTCAAAAGGTATCTGGGAGTCAGTTTGTATCTTTTAATATTATGTGGCTCACTATTCATTTCCACACTGAATTTTCCTGTTGACACTTAACAGACGTAATTCAAGCCTCTGGGTATATTGGTGCAAAGAGGGAGTCCTCCAAAATGGCTTCCCCCGGGATTCCACCTCCAGATCCACAGTGAGTGATAGAGTAGCCAGGTTAGTCTCTCCATCGTACTAGAGTGCTTCAGATGTTGGGAGGCTTGATGGAGACGCCAAGGGCCCACAGTACTTCACTACAAGGCCTGACCTCACTGTCTCTGAAGTTCTTATAGAATAGGCATTGGTTATGGGGGACACAGCCAAGTCACAACCATAGGGGACCTGGAGTACCTGAATAGTTCAAGGCAGTTGAGGAGCTGGGGGTAGCTCAGTGGTGGAGCACTGGTCTAGCATACAGAAGGCTCCAGGTTGATCGCCCGCACCAGGACAGAAACAACCACCAGCAGGACATGGTAGTGCCCTGGGCAAGTAGAGGCAGGAGGATCAGGAGTTCAGTCATTTTCAGCTACAAAGCAAGTTCAAGGCCAGCCTAGGAAACTTGAAACTGTTTTAAAAGCCAAGGTAAGTAGTTGTTGAACAGAGGTCCGGCCACTGGTGTTTTCCTTGTCCTGTGTGCTTTGTCCTCCTTCCCTTACCTCCACCTTTTCCTGAGACACTTGCTCTGTAGCCCGAGGCAGCCTCGTTTACAGCAGTGTTTCTGCCTCGCTGTCCAGTGGAGTTCTTTCTAGCTCCCCTTCCCAGCATGCCTCAGTACTGGCCAGGCCTCAGCCTGTCAGAGGAGACCTTTCACCACCTGAATAAGGCTTCCAAGAGCCCACTTCAGGAATTTCTGTTTTGGTGTTTTTTTGGTTTTTTTTTTAAAGATTTATTTATTTATTATGTATACAGCATGTATGACTGCAGGCCAGAAGAGGGTATCAGATCTCATTACAGATGGTTGTGAGCCACCATGTGGTTACTGGGAATTGAACTCAGGACCTCTGGAAGAGCAGTCAGTGCTCTTAACCTCTGAGCCATGTCTCCAGCCCCTGTTTTGGTGTTTCTTAATTCCAGCCCAATAAGTAAGGAAACTAAAAACTAGGTGGAGGAGGCGGCGATGCTATGAATAGAATGGCTTAATGAGAAAATGTGTGCCTGGGGTAGTTCCAGCAAAGAACCGGGCATGGGTAGGTGGCGTTTCAAGAAGATGTCATTGACTCTAATGACAGTGGTGTAATGAAATGCACATTTTACCAACTTTAGCCCACGTTAGCCTAGGCTGACCTCAACTCTAGCTTCCTGAAATCTCAGCATTCCATAAGCAAGAAGATGATTAGTTTTCTGACAACCTGGACGCCATAGCTAGGCCTTATCAGAGGCAAGGCATACAGAAGACACCATCAATAGGACCTGGAGTACGTCTAGATGTGAATGACAAGGTATCTGAGACAGCTACAGACCCCTGGGACAAGCTATGGCCTATTCATACTAAAGGGGACAGAAAAATACAGCACCCAGGAAGAACTACGATGTGGCAATTCGAGTGATCTAAGATTTAGGGTGAAAATCTAGTCTAGACCGAGATTTGGTAGAAAAAAAACATGACAACTGAAGAACAGCTGTTACAATGAAATCACTTAATAAGCATTTGGTAGTGTCTGCTTGTACATCAGACTTAAACTTTCATTCCTCCAACTCTTAAAAGCCCTACAGAGAAAACCTTTGTTGGAAGTCAAAACCAGATCAAGAGAGGAGCCGTTTAGGCATGTCTTGGGAAACCAAATTGACTTTGGGAAGCAAACCAAGGCACAGGATGAGATGGGGAAGAGGGCGCTGAAGTAAGGGGCTGAACAGAAGGCGCACAGGGTAAGAGCATTTGCTGCTCTTACAGGGGACCCAGGTTTGATCCCCAGAACCTACATGGCAGCTCACAACTGTAACTCCAGTTCCAGGGACTCCAGCTCCCTCTTCTGGTCTCCACAGCCACTGCATACATGTGGCACACGTACATAGCAGTTGAGAAGGCTTGATAAATAGGTAAAGGTGCTTAGGACTAAACCTCATGACTTGAGATCTATCCCGAGGACCCATGTGGTGGAAGGAGTAACTGACTTCTGAAAAGTGTCCTCAGATCTTTCAAATAAATTGTTTGATTGGAAGCTGGGCTATTGGTGAACTTCAGTGAACACTGCAGGATCTCCACTGAAAAATAAATGGTCTGATGGTGAAACTGAATGATCAACTGTTAACTATTAGACCAAGGGTGTGTGAAGGGGAAGTGATGCTTATGAACAGGAGGCATCTCCTTCTTGAAACAGACAAGGATGTTTGCTGAAGTGAGATCCTGTAGCAAAGGGTCCAGCCCAGGGGTCTCTGGAGAGGTCTCTTGGTTATCTGGAGAAGGGTGGTGACTGACGTCTGGAACTGCTCCTGGGAAGTGATCTAAGGAATAAACACAGGCTGTTCACCACAGTGCGAAGGCTGGAGTTTGGAGGATACAGTGGCATCAAGCTATGGTTTTGTGGCTTTTCAAAACCACACTTTCCAAGAGTGCCGGAGACCAGAGTGTGACCTCATTATATTGACTCATAGTCCAAAGACAGAGCTCAGAAGCTCTAGTTACATTTGCAAGTTTAGGTTTTAGATGTTTGTCTGAAACTTTTTCTGTTGCTTTTAGAATAGAGTTCAAATCACAGAAGTATCTGTTAAAATTTAGCTATTAAGATCCTTAGCACAGGTAACCAAAATCTGTATATGCTTTGTGTGGCTCAGGACTTGGGTCCAGTCACGTAAAGCCTTTTGAAAAATGAGTTTTATAGAAGATTTGACCAAAAGTTAACTGCAATGGTATTGATTTTGAAAGATGAATATTTAGGAAATATTTTAAGAAGTAGAGTTTGAGGTTAACTCTCAATGGGATAAGAAATTGACCTAGACTCCTTATTTTTAAAAGTACCATTAGGTAAGTTTGTGGATTCGAAAAGGGGGGATGTGGCCAGGCGAGATGGCCTAGCAGTTAAAAGTGCTGGCTGCTCTTCCAGAGGACCAGGTTCAAAACCCAAAGGGTGGCTCACAAACATCTGTAACTCCAGCTGCAGGGGATTTGACACCTCTTCTGGCCTCCTGGGGCATCAGCACAGTGGTAAGTGTACACAGCCATACACATGCAGACAAAACACTCATACGCATAAGTTTTTTTAATCAATTTAGTTTTTTTAAAAAAAGGTTAGAAAGGGAACTTTTATAAAAATCTTTGCTGATATAAGTAGCATCGTGTTAAATATACAATGGCCAAAAAATATTGAACAGTTCATCTAAATTTCTAAAAAGATAGACAACTTTTTATTTGTGGAAGAAAAACTAAGATGTCGAGGAGGTCCTAAGTATGTGTGACACTAAGTCATTTGTGTGAGCCTCAGCCTTCACCTGGAGAGGCTGGACCTCAGTTTCTACCCATAAAACGGTCTGATGGAAACAAATGGTATGACTGGAGGTGACTCAGTGTGTAGGTGAGGGGCCGGCACACGCCAGGCAAGCACTCTGCCACTCTGTGGAAAGGGCTTCACGCATAGAAACCCCTAAGTATGGCCAACTAAAACACTGTATTTGTTAAGGAGCCGATCATAGCTATAAAGGAAATGGGGATGTGCGGAGAGCCACCAACCCTTAGTACAGTGGGTCAAACCAGAGCAGCATTTCTTCATGTAGTAAATCAGAAAACACCCACTGCTTAACTAAACCTTAGTACAATGGGACAGACGAGGGCAGCATTTCTTCATGTAGTACTTCAGAAGACACCCACTGCTTAACTGAAACGACACCCTGTACCGGCCTTAGAGCACTGTGAGAAATATCACCAGAGACCGAAACCACCAGATAAATTTCACTTCTATATTTCAGAAAACCTACTTGAATACACTTTGAAACAAGAGTACAACAAAATAGAATATACTTCAAATGTTGAATATACAAACTATTATAGTTCAAATCTGAACACTGGTACTTTCCCTCTTACACGCCAACTAAAACAGAAAAAAGAGAGGAGGAGGAGGAAAGAAGGAAGAGAATGAGAAAGGAAACCAAGAGCAGGTAGGAGCGCTACCTGACGAGTTCATGCGGAGCCTGGAGTTCAGAATGACAGGGTTGATACTGAGGTGTCTGCAGGACGCCAGGGCTGAACTGAACGACGACGCGGTATGTTACAGTGAAGGGCCAGAGCCAACAGTCAATTTCCTCACAATTAAGAAACCAACAGACTTAAACTACCATATAAAATGTTACATGTAAATTCTATAACAATACTGTGCTAGGTACAAGATTTTTAAAATTTTTTCCTTTAATAAAAAAGCTTTACACAAACAAGCCATTAGCTTATTTCAAGAAAGAAAACTGAAAATTAGTCTAAGGCCTTTGTTTTAAAACAGCTTAAGCTATATGATATATATATTCAAAAACGAAAAATAAAACAAGAAAACGCACTAGATCTCTTTGCTATCCTCTCCTGGAGCTTTTGGATCCACTCAGTTCATATTCTAGAACAGCTATCTTAGCAGAGTCTTCACATAGCACCAGTTAAGTGAGCACTGTGCCAACACAGTGAATTTGCTGGTATGCATATAAAACGCATCGAAAATTGCTCTATGTAACAATGACATCCCCATCCCAACCCGCCCCACTGAAAACTATGTAACCTCTTCCAGGTGTTAGTGTTCCAACTCTTAGTGTGACTTGATAGTGTAGTGGGCTGCTTGGTCCCTTTCAGTCTTGTCTTATGGAGGGTTCAGTTGTTCCTATTTTAAGAGGCAGTTTTCTGTCAGCATCTCAACGTGTAGTTCACTTCCCACTGAAACATGGGACAGGTAACTATTTCCAGTAAGTCGAATTGCTTTCGTCTATGCACAATTGTTCACAGTCCTCCTCCGCTTCTCTCCGTGACTCCCTTCCGACACTCACAGTTCATTTGTCACAGGCCACCAGTCCTTCGGTTTTCATAGTCACAGGAAGGGCAATGGCAGAGGGCGCGCTGACGACCACGACATGGGTTACTGTCTTATTCCCATCCGCGCCTTTTTCCTCCACCAGCTGCAAAGTTTTCACGTCATGCTCCTGCTTTTTGGCCACTGCTTCCGATTTCACCTCTGGCCCTTTTATGACCGCACTAATTACTCGAGGAGGAGTCTGGCCGGAAGCCTGTTGAGCAGGCACAGATAGTCTCATCACAGGAGTACCATGGGCTATGGAGACGGGGGTAAGTGCTCTCACGGCCAAGGGGGCTCCGACAATGTTAATGCTTCCCGACCCAGTCAGATTGGACTTGGTCTGCAGTTGACACTGTGCAAGCTGGGTGGCGGGGATGGTGATAATTTTGGCAGGCTGCATGGTGATCTTGTCTCCACTTTCAGCAGAGGCTGGCATCACGGTCGGGATTGTCTGAATGACTACTTTTGGAGAGGTGGCTGTCGTTGGGCTGGTGCTGGTTATTAACGGTGTGCCGGCATTGACGGACTGAACTGCCACAGTGGAAATCTTCTGACCCAGTGATGTCATCACCACGGGAACCTGCATCGCCACACGAACTGTCCTGGTGGATAAAAACCAAACAAGCTGGTTATGTTCAATACTAAATTAAAAATGAGTCTCACGTTTAAAAGTAAATACAAATCAAGCCAGGCGGTGGTGGCACACGCCTTTAATCCCAGCACTCGGGAGGCAGAGCCAGGCGGATCTCTATGAGTTCGAGGCCAGCCTGGGCTACCAAGTGAGCTCCAGGAAAGGCGCAAAGCTACACAGAGAAACCCTGTCTTGAAAAACAAACAAACAAAAAAAAAGTAAATACAAATCCAAAGGCTTAAAACCAGTGCTTCCAACTTTGACAACTTTGTAGTAAAGTTGAGGAAAAAATCTCCCAGCTCCCTACTGGGATTGGACCTGGCGTCTCCCGCATGCTAATCAAGTGGCCGACTACTAAGCTACAGCCCGCCCCAGCTTTTTGAGGCAAGGTCCTGCTGACTCACTGCTAGCTTAGAACTCACTCTGTAGCACAGGCAGGCCTTGAACTTGTGATTCTGCCTCGGCCTCACAGTACTTAGGACTACAGATGTGTTCTACTATGTATAGCTAAAAGCATATTTTAAAAATCCAACACTTAAAAAAATTTTTTTAATTTTATGTGCATTGATGTTTTGTCTACATTCATGTCTGTATGAGGGTGCTGGACCCCCTGGAACTGGAGTGACAGTTGTGAGCTGCCATGTGGGCGATGGGAAGCGAACCCAGGTCCTGGAAGAGCAACCAGTGCTCTTCCCACTGACCATGTCTCCAGCACTACGATGCATGTTTTCCAGTGTTCATCCAGCCTTGGCTAACAGAGATTAAACAAGCACAGTTCCTCTGTCCCAAGGAGCATCCAAACACTGCTGCACTGTGTCAGAGCTAACCGCCTCCCTCACCTGGGAGCTGCCGCGGCCACAGACGCTGTGGTGGGAGGAGACCTGGAGGAAGCGTCATGAGCAGGGGAGGTGATATTCACAACTCGCGCCACCCCCTTCTCGGCTCTGGAGCAGTTCAGAGAGGAGTTTTTCCCGCCGCCGCCGCGCACAGAAGTTGCCGCTTTCAGGAGACTCTCGGCAGACAGTGACACTCGTTCTAAGGACTTCTCATCAGCGGCTGCGGCCAGGTCTTCGGCGCAGGGCTCACTTTTGTCGTCATCGATGACTACTATGTTTTTGGGCATATCCTTGAACTGATAGACCAGCCTCTGCCCTTCAACCTTGGCAAGGATCCCCCTTTGGTAGTAGTATCTGCGAGAGGAAAAACAGTCGATCGTACGATCGCCATCACGGGAAAGCCGGCACTGACAGACATTCACTTCTGGAGATGAGCACTTCTAAGATTACAGAGCTGTGAGGAAAGGAAGTTGCTGTCGTGCCACAGGCCCAGATGGTTAATACTGACTGTCGATCTGACCAGGTCTACAAGTACTTAAGAACTAACTCGTGGTTACAGTGGGGCATGGATGACCCACTGAAAAGCAGAGGCAGGCTAAGTGCCCGCCTCCATCTGTGTCTGGCTGCGGAGGTGACACCAGTCCTCCCACGGTCAATGTCCCGCTCTTCCTGAGCTGCTCTGGTCACATCAATGACACGTGGCTGATGCAGCTCTGGAACCGTGATGTGGACAAAGGCACTGTGGCACCGAGGCCTGAAGGGGAGACTTGCTACTAAGAGGAAAGGGCTTCATCTCCAGCACCGCACCACACTACCTGTTTACACAGAGCAGGCTAGCTTCCAACTCTAGACTGATCCTCCTGCCTCCACCTCCCAAGTGAGGAGATCGCAGTCTTGTCTCTCTTTTGAAAAGCTTAGCCTAAAAACAGGACACTATTGATACTACAAGGAACTGTTATAAAGACAATCCGACTTTATTCGGAGTAATCACCTCAGCCATGTTTAGTAGAGATGCAATCTGTGGTATATGTGAACACTATCACAAAAAAAAAAAAAACAAAAACCATGATGTTGAGTGGCTCCTGCCTCAAGGTAGGAGAACTGATGCAAGTTCAAAGCCAGCCTGACTACATAAGCCCCAGGCCAGCCTGGGCTACATGGCAAGGCCTGTCTCAAAAAAATAAACGCAATAATGCATACAGTGGGATTTAATGGATTTCTCATACTGCTCAACACAACAAAAATTTTTCATTATCAAGATAAAGTCACTTACAACGTTTGCAGGAACTAAAAGAGAATTAACTTTGAAAAAAGCATTTCATTTAGGATTTCTTATAGGATCTCATTGTAGTCCAGGCTGGCTTCAAACTTACGATGTAAAGGAAAATGACTGAACTCCTTATCCTCCTGTCTTCAATTACCAAACAGTAGAGACTGCAAGGCAATGCCACTACATCCAGTCTGGGTTGGACGTTTTAAAAGACCTACAACGTAACAATTTCTATTCCAGAACCGTCCTAAATGCAGAATCCATTTTCAATAAATATGAGTTTTCCAATACTGAAATTCTGCATGTAGACCAAACTTTTCTTTCTTCCATCTATTTCCAAATCTAAGAAATTCTTCTAAATTGTTCACCAAAATTAGAAGTTACATTAAGGGATTTTTTTTAAGCTTTCCTTTAAACGACTTTAACAACTAACAGACAATCTAAACAGACATGTAAGCTCTATTTAAAAACCAGCCCATGTTCATTCTCACCTCAAAGCTCGTCCCATAGTTTCATAGTTCATATCTGGTTTGTTCTTATGCTTTCCCCAAAGCTTCGAGACAGCTTTTGAGTCCACAAGTTTGAATATGCCCTTTTCTCTCTGAGTCCATTTAATGTACCTGGGACAAGTATTTTTATCTTGAAGTAGATCTAAAAGAAACTCCCACAGATAGGTTGTGTTTCCTTTAAAAACAAAGCAAAAACAATGACAGGCATTAATTTAAAATCCATTAATATGATTAACTGTAAATAAAATATCCTGATTTACAATAAAAATCCTAAATATACTTACTTGCTGTTTCTTTTTGAGACAAGGTCTCATTATGCCGCCCAGCCAACCTGAAACTTGCTATGTAAACCAAGCTGACCTCGAACTAAGACCTCTGTGTAGCTAGAGGTTTCCTGCCTGGCCCACAGTCAGGCCAAATCTTTGTCACCCGCCAGTCCCACAGCCGCTCAGACCCAACCAAGTAAACACAGAGACTTATATTGCTTAAAAACTGTATGGCCGTGGCAGGCTTCTTGCTAACTGTTCTTACAGCTTAAATTAATCCATTTCCATAAATCTATACCTTGCCAGCGGCATCTTTTCATGTTGCTTGTCCTGGCAGCGGCTGGCAGTGACTCCTTCCACCTTCCTGTTCTTTCTTTTCTCCTCTCTGTTAGTCCCGCCTATACTTCCTGCCTAGCCACGGGCCAATCAGTGTTTTATTTATTGACCAACCAGAGCAACACATCTGCCATACAGAACATCCCACAGCACCTCTGCTTCCCAAATGCTGGGATTAAAGGCCTGCACTATGCCCAGACTATGTGTCTGTTCTTAAAAATGTATGCACTTCCACAAGGAAGATGATAGAGGCCCCAGATTCTATACTGTCATGTGTCCTGTATCCAAGGCTTCAGGCTCAGGAGAGGCAACAGCATAATGCTTAGTATAATACAATGCTGGACTGAACGAAACAGAGTCTAATTTCTTACTTAACTTATACAGGTTTGAACTCTGAATATAATCATCTGTACTTGTTCTATATTCTATCCCAAGTCCCTTCAAACTCATTAGAAGCACTAACCAGTGTTGCTGTTACTAGTGCTGAGGGAGGGTCTCGGAGCCCAGGCTGGCCTTGGACTACTGACCTCCCCTTCCCTGGGGCTGGGACAGCAAGCATGTGCCACAGAGACTGGCACATCAATCAGGACCTCTTTGTAAGAAATGCTTGTCTTTGATTAACCAGTAGGCCTTAACTGTAGGGTACTTGGCTACAGGCTGCCCCAACCTTCGAAGATCTCTTATGATCTCTGAACTGCTAGTAAACATAGACTGGACTACCATATAACTTACTGTATTTAACCACTTGTTTTAATATTTCCTATTTCTACACAGTGTACCCAGTACTGTGAATATAATAGATCACATCACTTCAGTATATGTAAACATGTCGGTTACAGGAGGAGGAGGATGGACCACTGAACTAGGCACATATTTATAAAATGTAACTCCAACATTTGTCATGGATCACACTGTCAGCAACATCAAAAATGAGGGAATACTAAAATATCTCTGCAAAACAAAATGTCTACACTTGAGGCTGGAGAGATGGCTCAGTGATTACAAGCTCATTCTGTTTCCAGAGGACCAAAGTTGGGATCCTAGCACCCTTATCAGACAGCTCAGAACTACCTACAAACTCCAGCTCTGAGACTCTGATGCCTCTGGCCTCCAGGGTACCCGCACTAACATGCACAGACCTACAGACATTACACACATGAATAGAAAATAAAAATAGCATCTTGCTATGGATGACTGATTGATAAATAAAGTGCTGATTGGCCAGTAGCCAGGGAGGAAGTATAGGCGGGACGAGCAGAGAGGAGAATTCTGGGAAGTGGAAGGCTGAGGCAGAGAGACGCTGCCAGCCACCATGATGAGAAGCAGATGTTAAGATACCAGTAAGCCACGAGCCCCTTGGCAACTTACGGATTAATAGAAATGGGTTAATTTAAGCTATAAGAACAGTTAGCAAGAAGCCTGCCACGGCCATACAGTTTGTAAGTGATATAAGTCTCTGTGTGTTTACTTGGGGGGCGCTAATGGGAGAGACTTGTCCTGACTGCCGGCAGACTGGACACAGGAAAACTTCAGCTACAGCATCTACACATATCTACCAACCCAAGGAGAGAAGATTGGATCTCTGCCTTGAGGAATTGACAATTTGGGGACGGGAGTAGAAGACAAGATAGACAACGACGCATTGTTAGCGGGGAAACAATGTAAGACGGCTCACAAGGCAATGGTAACCAGAGGTCTCCAAGGAATCACAGGAAACAGTGATTAACATTTCAGGAATGGTAAGTCATGGAAGACAGTTAAAACATGCATAAAAGGGGGATCTAGCAAGTACAATAAATAACTTAATCCCAAAAGGAAGAAAAGGACTTTTATTGTTGTTCTTCGAGACAGGGGTTCTCTGTGTAGCTTTGAGCCTTTTCTGGAACTCACTCTGTAGCCCAGGCAGGCCTCAAACTCACAGAGATCTGCCTGGCTCTGCCTCCCGAGTGCTGAGATTAAAGGCGTGCGCCATCACCGCCTGGCTAGGATTTTATTTATCCATTTCCCTTGGAAAGGGGGAGAGAACCAGCACTTTGCAGTCTGTTCTCCTCCTGCTTCCTGCAGAACCTCTAGGAGCAGGGGTCCTCAGCCGATGAAAGAAGACTGAGAAGACAACATTACACTTGCTCCTCCTATCCAGTCCAGGACGCCTCTCCTAACGATCCCTCACTATATCCTGGAATGCAGACCTTCAGGAGAGGCTTCCAAACCAAACCTAACCCCTGCAGCCCCATCTTCAACGCAAACACTGGCACTTCATTTCCACTCAGAACTCCCTTCAAAGTCAACAAACTCGTTAACCGCTCACAGCTGATCACAGTATGCATCCCTTGGCCAAAAAAGGCCAGCCTCCTCAGCACCACCTCATCATCTCTGAAGCAGCACTGCATCCCCATCAGAACCTAGCAGCCCCTGACCCATGCACATCATTCAACCACATCAAACATGCAGCTGGGCCACTCTTTTACAAGCAGGGGGTTATTAGATCCTATGACTGGACCAGGAAAAGTGAGCAGAGATTTAACAAGAATTTAAATTATTCTGTTTGTTAAATTAAGTAGACTCATTAACATCTGTAAGGTTATCTTTACTCTGTCCAAGTTCCCATTCCCAACTTAGTAATTTTAAGGAAAGCAGAATTCAGACATGGAAGCTTTCACAGGACTACTGCCTATGACAGATACTTTATCTTGAGTTTGCAGAACAATGGCTAGAGTTTGAACACAGCTTTAACTGTAACTTTAACCATATCATAACATCTGCTTCAAGTTTAGACTAAATTTTAAGTGCAAGTGACGAGGAGTTGAGGATGTGGCTCAGAAACAGATCGCCTGCTTAGTGTGTGCAAGGCCTTCAGTTACAGCACCACCACAAAGCAAACACACCAGAAATAATTGCCATTTACAGTTTGACTTTCCATTTACTGGTTACAGATTTACTGTGACAGTGTAACTTTAATGTTTGCAATATTGCAATCTGGGGGGAAGGTCTAATGGAAACCTAAACTGACCTCAAGCTCTCTAGGTAGTCAAGGATGACCCTGAATCTTTGATCCTCTTGTTGGGGTTACAGGTGTGCACTACTGTGCTACTACTTCATGCTGGAGAACGTGTCTACTAGGTGTCTGCTAGGCAAGTCTTCCTAACGGCTGCGATACATCACTTAGCTTCTCAGTGTACATTGAAAAACAAAAACCTAACCCACTGGAAATGCAGATGACCAGGGGCAGACAAGGAAGTGAACGTCAGAAACCTGTCCCAAACTAAGAAGAGATCAATGAAACTGGAGTTTGTTCTTTCCTCCTCTTGGATATAACTAATACCCAATTTCCCTGTGGAGTTATTAGGCACAGTTTTCACTAGACTTACATAGTAAACCTATTAAAAATAGGACAAATTTAAACATATTAATAAAAGATTTAAGATTATCAATCTAAAGACATTGACTTATTAACCAGATATAATTTTGTTTATGGGATCTTCAAACACACCAAATAAGAAATCAGAAGGTCTGAAGAGATGGTTGAATGGTTAAGAACTCTGACTGCTTTTGGAGAAGACCTGTGTTCAGTTCCCAGCACCCATAACTGCTTGTAACTCCAACTCCAGGAGATCTTTAAAAAAAAGAGAGAGAATTGGGTGTGGTGATGCACACCTTTAATTGCAGCACTCAGGAGGCAGAGCCAGGTAATCTCTGAGTTCCAGACAGCCAGGGCTACAACAGAGAAACCCTGTCTTGAAACAAAGAAAAGAAGTATGTATCAGAAGGCCACAGGTAGCTTAAATGTCAGAGCTTGTTGCCAAGACTGATGACCTAAGCTCAGTCACTAGGAGCACCCAGTACAGAGCTGCTGGCTCACAGATTGTCACCCGACTCTTCTCTTCAAGTGGCTCAACATGAGGATAAGTGCTGATAGGAACGTCCCCTAAACAATGGTCCCTAGAAACAATGTGGTTGGCACTGTCCTGTGGACACTGCCACTATCCATCTCTTTGAGACATAGCTATTTTGATAAGTTCCCCATAATGCTGACCCACACCTGATTAAGAAATACTGAGAGATGGGACTCCTATATGTACATCTACTAAAAATAATCCTTCTTACAACTGCAAAAAATGTCATCAAAACCAATCTTATTCCCCAAATGACCCTCCACAAATTACCTTTTCCTTCTCTGGCTTTCTTCTTGATTCCTAACTCAGGAGACCCATTGGAAACTGGTGACTGCTGGGTCTTTGGTTTGCGGCCAACTGGAAAAATAAGACAATGAAACCATAAACTAAAACAGAAATAATTACCAGACTCTATAAAAACACATTCCTCACTAAACTAGACACTAATGTGCAGATTAAAACAGTCACTGCCAAGGAGGGGTGGCACACACTTACGAAAAGCTGAGAAGAAAGACTCTGAAATCAGCCTGGGTCACAGAGTGAGTTTAAAGGCCAGCCTACTCAGTGTAGCTCAGTGGTAGAGCACTTGCCCAACAAGCATGAAGCCCTGGGTTCAATCCCTAGCACATTCCTCTCACTCAAGAAGACTTGTGTGGGGCTGGAGAGATGGCTCAGAGGTTAAGAGCACTGACTGCTCTTCCAGAGGTCCTGAGTTCAATCCCCAGCAACCACATGGTGGCTCACAACCATCTGTAATGAGATCTGGTGCCCTCTTCTGGCCTGCAGTCATACATGCTGTATACATAATAAATAAATCTTAAAAAAGACTTGTGTGTATGAAAGCTACTTGTAAATAGAGCATTAAACACTCCTGCAATTTTAAGTAAAGCAGTGAGTAGAAACTTGACTGTACAAAGTCAGTAACTTCTCTAACTTCAATTATATGGTCAGAGACAGCCTCAATCGGCTACTTTTTTAGACTGCAGTCCTAGAGCTCACTATGTAGACCAGGCTGGCTTTGAGCTTAGAGATACTACTTACTGCCTCTGCCTCCGAGGCCTGGGACCAAAGGGGTGCACCACCACACCCAGCTGTTAGAAAGTTATTCAGTATGGTTGGTTGGTTGATTTGTAGTATATTTATTTATACTCTTTAAGAGCTTCATACATGCATAGAAAGTATACTTTGATCACACTCTCCCTCGCTTCATGCAGTTAGAAACAATTTCACCTACTCACTGCAGAGGAGCTGATCATGGGAAGCCCCCGAGCTCAAACAAACACAACATTAACACCATTTATATCGTGAGCCAGACAGTTCACCAAACATTTAAGCTGAAGTGTTAAAATTTCCCCGTCAACTTGCAGATACACTGTAAATGTTGAAAAAAAGCAAACAACACACTCTTCCAAGTGATTATGTCCAATGAATGCATGTACCATTCACGTCTGTCCTTATTTCTGCCAGAAAGCAAAGACAGACAGACGAGCAAGGGCTCAACGTCAACACACTAAGGGCACATGGGAAATGAGTTCCACTGGGTCCTCGGGAAAAGTAAGGTTAGGGTGCTGGCAAGGTGGCTTGGCCAGTCCATGGAGCCCAACAACCTGAGCCCAATCCCCAGAATTCACATAAAGGTGAAAGGAGGACCAAAGCAGTTTCCTCTAAGTTCTGTATATGCACCCCGGCACACACACATCACACACAATAAAATACTTTAAAAAACCTACAAAGACTGTGTATTCAAATGCACATAGTAACAAAAACACACAGATAATGGCCTTCTGACTGTCTCGCAGACAGCAATAAACACAGAATTGTGTGTATGTTTAATGTCTGATTAGTATATATGCACTGCACAGGGTAATGGGTTTCATTATCACATTCTCATACATACAGTATATACTGATCCACACTACTCTTTCGGGCCTCCTGCCAGGCCAGGTCCATGTCCTTTCCCCAAATTGTCCCCCTTCTATTTCCATGATCCAGCCTGGCCTAAAACTGATTATCCTCCTGCCTGAGATTATAAGTATATGTCACCTCACACTGTTTTATCACATTTTGTTTTCTTCAGTCTTGGTTCCCTAAGAGAAGACAATGTTTGTTTCCCTAAGTCTAGTTAATTTTGCTTGCTCCACTCATTTTTCTGCAAACAAGATTCCCCTCTTTTACATGGCTAAATATTCTGGTGAGTGTGTATAAATCTCATTTGCACATACATGTATACACACATATACACACACTGTGGTAGTGTGAATGCAATTGGCCCCCATAAGCTCAAAGGTGTGGCTTTGTTGGAGGAAGTGTGTCACCATGGGGGCAAGATTTTAAGGTTTCCTATGTAAAGATTCCACCCAGTGTCTGAGATTACTTCTCGTTGCCTTCTGATCAAGATGTAGCCAGCACCACGTCGGCCTGCATGCCGCCCCGCTGATAATGGACTAAGTGGAAGCTGCCACCTCAGTGAATGTTTTCCTTTAGAAGAGTTGCTGTGGTCGGTGTCTCTTCGCTGTTGTGGGACGGAATTCTTTGTTTAACTATGTGAAGATGCGTTGCTTGTGTTCATGCTGTACTTGTTTAACCACATAAAGACCTTGCCTGCCTAAGGCACCTGATTGGCATAATAAAAAGCTGAATGGCCAATAGCTAGACAGAGGACAGGTAGGCAGGGCTGTTGAGCAAAGAAAAAGGGGGATGAAGTTGGTTGGTAGGGAGGCAGGGAGGATCTGGAAGTCATTTCAGGAGGGGGGAAAATCAAAATATATTATATGAAAAAAATTTAATAAAAAAGAAAAAATTACCTGCTGTGGGATGGTCTGTATGTCAAATTACTCTGATTGTTCAATAAATAAGACACTGATTGGCCCGTGGCTATACTTCCTAGTATAGGTGGGACTAACAGAGAGGAGAAAAGAAAGAACAGGAAGGCGGAAGGAGTCACTGCCAGCCGCCGCCATGACAAGCAGCACGTGAAGATGCCGGTAAGCCACGAGCCACGTGACAAGGTATAGATTTATGGAAATGGGTTAATTTAAGATATAAAAACAGTTAGCAAGAAGCCTGCCACGGCCATACAGTTTGTAAGCAATATAAGTCTCTGTGTTTACTTGGTTGGGTCTGAGTGGCTGTGGGACTGGCGGATGACAGAGATTTGTCCTGACTGTGGGCAAGCAGAAAAACTCTAGCTACAATTACCCACCAGCATGTCACACCATGGCTGGCTTGGTTTATGCTGTCCACAAAAGGAAGAAAACATACTATGTGTGTTACTTGGTAGTTCTGGGGTGTGTGTGAGTGTGTGAGTGTGTGTGTGTGTGTGTGTGAGTGTGTGTGTGTGTGTGTGTGTGTGTGTGTGTGTGTGTGTGTGTGTGTAATCATCTCAATACTGGGGAGGCCAAGGCAGGAGAATGATAAATTCAGAGATAGCCTGAACTATATATAAATAAGACCTAACCCAAAAAATAATTCAAAAATCTAAAAAGCAAGTTTGAATGTAACAAGCAAGTTCCTCTAAAGAGTTTACAGCCAGGAAGAGAGACAACTGAGGGACTTTGGTTCTTTTGGGGACCCAGCACCTGCACCTTTAGAGCTTAAATGCAAACATCTTTTGAGGGTGTGTGTGGCAAGCAGTACCGGGGTTGGAACAGGCCAGGCAAGTGCCCTATCATCATGATATATATCAGCAACCGGGGGAATTGTTTTTATTTTAAATAAATACTAGACTGAATTGCCCACTGGCCTTCAATACTAGATCCTCCTGCTTCAGGCAGTATCACCAGGCCTGACTATAAACGTCTTTAAACAATATGAATATTAAAGCCCAGTCTCTTTTATTTTTTTTCAAGGCAGGGTTTCTCTGTGAAGCAGTCCTGGCTGTCCTGGAACTCAGAGACCTGGGTTTAAAGGCATGCACCAATGCTTGGCTTTAAAGCCCAATCGTTTTTTTACCTTGTGTCATTTTTGTGTTAAGAAATTTTTTATTCATTTTACATACCAACTGCAGATCCCCCTCTCCTCCCTAAAGCACAGTCTTTACATTTCAATTTGCTGTATTTCTGAGTCTAGTTAAGATAACATCAATCCGCCATGCAGTAGTACTCAGTACTAATCCCAATACTCAGGATGCAGAGGCAGGCTTATTTCTGTGAGTTCTAGGATAACCAGGGCTACACAGAGAAACCCTGCCTCAAAAAATAAAACAAAACAAAATAAAAGATAAGATGGGAAAGACTTCTCATATTTGATCAGTATCCCCGACCTTTTTTCTTTCTCATTGGTTCGTGGCTGTCTGGTGAGGTGGGAATAGGCGAGGCGTCCATTGGTTCAGACTCTTCCGTTGACACCTCCACTACAGTCTCCGTAATGACATCTGGACGCATGGCTGCGTGGATAAACTCTGGAGTTGACAGACAAGGAGGGACAAACACTTCCACTATAAAAAAAAGTTGAAAAATTACAATATCCCACCCCTGTTATAGTTTCTTATGTGGACAGGCCAATATTTAGAAGAGGCGAGGTTTACAGAATTATCCAAAGCAAGATAAGAACTTGTGCCTGAAGAAGTCAAGTTACAGCATATCCAAAACTATCTAAAATAAAGGACAATCATTTTGACAGTTAGGAAGGCAACCTCTTTTCCACACTTTGAGGTCCTTTTTTAAGAAGGTTTTATTTTTACTTTTTGTGTGTGGAGGATTTACCGACATGTTTATACACTTGTGTGCCTATTGCCTCCAGAAGCCAGAAGAGGGCATCAGCTCCTCTAGAATTGGAGCTACCATGTGGTGTGGAAACCAAACCCAGGTCCTCTGCAAGAGCACACAGTGTTCTTAACTCCTGAGCCATCTCTCCACAACTCCCTTGAAACTTCTAGGTTAATTATAGCAACATTTTACATGATTTTGACAGAGAAAATTAAAAAATAATGGTCCTTTAATAATTATTTTCATTGCACATATCTATCATCCATTAACTGGGAAATACAAGGACATGATACAAAATTTAAAAATTTATAAGTTCAGTACAAAATACAAATTTTTTTCATTTTAAAATATGAGAAAGGGACTAACTTCATTTGAGGACAATAAATATCATTTTAAGTCACTAAAATAGTACATAGATTGCTATCAATACATACATACAATAGATTACACACAATAATGTTGCTTCAGCGTCCCTAACACATGCTTGAGTAACCAGGATAACACATTTCTATTTCAAATTAGTAGATCCAGATACTGTATCCTAACATGGATCAATATGCGACCCAATAATGCCACAGCTTATTTCTCATGTCCTTGAAGAATGCATTGGATCCTAATGCAATTAAAAAGATGGTTGCAGGAAAAATGAAAAACGGCTCGGTGTTTAAGAGCACCGATACCCTTTCAGGGCCGGAATACAATTCCCAGCAACCACAGGGCAGCTCACAACCATCTGTAACTCCAGTCCCAGGGGATCTGACCCCCTCTTCTGACACCCATGGGTATCAGGCATGCATGCACACAGTGCAGAAATGCATGCAGGCAAACACCCACACATACAAAATAACCTTTTAAAGATGGCTGCTGTTAGCAACTAACTGTACTTCCTGTACAGTGAGTTAAAATCAAGACAAAATCAAATAAGTACACCACCACTATTAAAATCAATCTGCAAGGAAAAAAAGAACCTTATTTCACAAGCTGAAAAGAATATGAAATAAATTCCTTTCCCTCTCCCATGGCCAGTTCCATGTAGTTAGTTACTGCCTATTGATGAGTGAGTCAAGGATTGAAAGGCTACAGGAAGCAAATAGTCCAACTTGTCCTGCTCTTAGGGACTACAACTACCTACAATTTACTCAGAATCAAGAAAATAAACATGACAACATATACAGCTGCTTAGTAAAAATTTGTGGGCATTTTCTGCATTACTTATTAGAACATTAAGCACAGTATTTAAGATTTTAAAGCCTTCGCTGGGCAGTGGTGGTGTACACCTTTAATCCCAGCACCCAGGAGGCAGAGTCAGGTGTATCTCTGTGAGTTCAATCAAGAGAGGCACCAAAGCTACACAGAGAAACCCTGTCTCGAAAAACCAAAATTCTAGAGCCTTCCCCATCAATCACTGATATCAGTCTTCATTCTAATGGAAACAATGTATCGTTTAGTATAAACTGGACAGATCACATACCAGGACTTCTGGAATCCCTCAAGCAGGTAGGAGATTCCATATGAAGCAGGGCTTCAGCAGCTTCAATTGTCTTGTCTGTACAGTGTGCATTACTGCCATGAACAGACGCTTCCACTGTGGAAAACAGACACAAACAACTTAATATCATTACTGAGTATCACAATCCTACACAAGCCAAGGGGTACTCATTAACTACTTACTAAGTAAGAAAGAATACCAAAGCTAACGTCTACGCTGTGTAAAGTGAGTGTTGATTTTAAAAGCAACCAATAAGCCAGGTAAAAGTGTCACATTCTCCTAATCCGGTACTTGGAGGGTTCCGGCGGGGAATGGGGTTTGAGGCTACCCTGGGCTATATATAGGCAGTCCCTATCTCAAAACCAAAAACCCAGTGAAGCTAATTAGAAATTACTGAGAAGTTCCTGGATCTTAACCAAAAGAAAACAAAGAAAGAACCTTGAAATATGAAATTTGCATCCATTTTAGACCACAATCACCTGGGAGAATGGTCCACAGGGGCTGGGGAGCAGGGAGAGAACCACCACCCTGTAGGTCAATTATGTCATCCCACGCGCTGTCTCTAAGCTGGGGTAATATGATTGCCAACAGAAACCAGTTAGAAGCACTTCTGTTCTAAGCAGCCTAATGAATTGCCTCAATTTTTATATCGTCTCCTGTGAGGGGACAATCGCCAGGCAAGCCATTAATTTCACTGTCACGACACTTCCTAACTTTGTTCACAGTAACACTGTTCTTTTCAGAGTGTCAGTGGGCTTCGCTGGGTTTTCCCTAAGAAATGCACGTGTGTGGGTGGATGGATAGAGACAGATGATCTTACCCGGAAGCCGGTCCAATTCAACTGCTCTTCCTATCTCTCTTACATGTCTTTCATGCTCTCTATCAAATGACTGGTGAAACAATGAGGTACTCAGACAGAGGTTTGCACTTGCAGGTCTAACAGCAGGGTTCTTAGACTCTGCCACTAAGGCAATCCACTTACTCTCCAATGCCTAAGTTTCCGCTTTGACAGAGCAGGACAATTTCCACAAATAGCTGTGGAAACCACATACAGTGCCTGGCATGAAATGGGAATTCCGTATGATGACCTCTCATTGCTATAAAAGGGTAAGCTTTGCATTCACAACTGGTTTTGTTTCGTTTTCAAATGTTGAGGATCAAACCCAGCACCTCCCACATTGCTAGACAAGTGCTCCACCTCTAAGCGGTATATCTAGCCCCAGATTTTCCATAACACGTGCATTTCTTTTATGTATCAAGTTAAAAACAATCCCATGATCTTACAGGAGAATTGTCAAGAATTCATTATCTTAGTTGTACATTTATTTCACACTCTGACTTATTTATATACTGAATAATTTATGTGATTAGAGGTTTTGAAACATAAATAATAAATTTTAATCTGACTGTTTTTCTGAAGATGTTCTCCTAAGGAGCTGCTGTGACTGTTCCTAGTTTCATAAAGCCATGCCAAATTCACAAGTCCAGACACGAATCTTCTAAAGCCTGTCTCAAGAAACTTGAATCGTAAAAAGAAAATTTTTTAGAGCCTCCAAATTCACCAAATGCTAAAACCTCAGCCTTTAAAAAGGAAGTCATTTGGGGAGCACTTGTTTTAAAACTCCAGGCCTCTTTTAGCACCTGTTCCACACCGTCCACACGCTCAAGCTAGGTACTCGGGTCTCTCCAGCTGCTCTTTCCATTTATGGACATCTGCTCCCAGCTAAATGGACTGGGAGAGGCAGCCAAACCTCTAAGTAAGTCTATCTTTAGGTGACCCTGCTTACTCTTATCTGCAGCTTCTGGGAGGCAAAGGGCTCACTCCGCTACTAGCCCAGCTTTAAAAACTTGGTATAGAAGACACGGCCAATCTTGAGGGTGTTCTTCACAGGGCCTCCTCTAAGACTCACAGACACCAACAACCCCCAGGAAGCGAACTCTCAGGGTTAAACATCAACCTGGGAGCCATCCTCTCTCTGTAAAGCAGGACTGGTGCTGTAATTTAGCTGGTGTCTTAAGAGCTATTAATAAACTATCCTGGGTAAGCTAATTCCTTATGTAATATTACGGAGATATACTCTACAAACTGCATGGTACTACAATTATAGCTTCAAGTATTTAATAATCAGAGGGCAATAAAACTACAGATTTTAAAATATTTAAGTTATAAATAACAACTACAAAAATACTTGCCTAACAGTTGTATATTGTGTGCCCTAAATTCTTAGGTAGCTTGGGGTGCATTTTCAAAATCATTAATTCATGTTAAGTTCATGTTACTACAAATGAATCTCGATTCTGTTCTGTTCTGGTTTGTTTCTTGAGATGGAGTGTCATGTAGCTTAGGCTGGCCTGGAACTCTAGATATGGCAGAAATCTTGAACCCCCAATCCTCTCGCTTTTGCTCCCTAAGTGCTGAGATTACAAGGGTGTACTACCACACCCAATTCCAATTAGGTTTTTAAAGTGTATTTTCTTGTTTCTACTTCTGACCCCAAATTTCTCTTCCCCCTAAAATTTAACAAATTATAACCCAAAAATATTTGACTAGTACTTTAAATAGCCCTAATTTATAAGTGCAGCCAGGCTGTATCACCTGACTGTTTCTCAGGTGCTGAGTGCTGGGCTACAATCTGAGTTCTGTGTCTGAACAGAGCCTCTGCCTCCTGAAACTTCATGTTCAGAGTGCCGTCAAAACCCAAATACAAATGTAAAACAATCTCATAGCTCTGTAACTGAACGGCCTCTAAAGAGAGTGGAGTAGAGCACTTTCTACTTTAGGAGCTTACCATGTTCATCTGCAGCTCCATGCTAATAAAACCTAAAAGCCTGGTGTCGGATGAGAAGTTCCAGAATATTTACCCATTCTATAAAGGGAGGAGTATCTAGACTTTGTTGACCTAAGTCAACAGGTGACTTTCTAAAATAATCTTTCATAGCAGAAATTTAATATCTCTAGAATTCTGTACTTTTAAAAACTTAATGCTGTTTTCTTCAGCTCAATAATTAAAAAATTAAAACTGCAGCCAGGCGGTGGTGGAGTGTGCCTTTAATCCCAGCACTCGGGAGGCAGAGCCAGACGGATCTTTGTGAGTTCAAGGCAGCCTGGTCTACAGAACAAGATCCAGGACAGCCAGGGCTACATTGAGAAACCCTGTCTCAAAAAAAAAACCAAAAATAAATAAATAAAATAAAACTGCATATTTCTAAAGATATAAGTATCAATTTAACAGTGCCTTGCAATAAAAGCAACATCTGCAAATAAAATTCCTTCTTACTACTTTCTAGACATGCATGAAATTTATGGTAGAAAAGAAGCTACTCAGTTTAAAAACAGAAACAAACTAGGAAGTAACTGGACAGGTCTCATTTTCTAGCAGTTGAACTCCCGACCAAGCCTCCTTCAAGTAATGTATCAAATATATTTCAGAGCGATTTAATTCTGAGCACACAGCCATCAATAAGCATGGTTGTGCTGCCATTTACTGTGGGTAAATATGCCCGCTCCAGCTCCATCTCTAATCAGCTGGTGTTTGTAGTACACTGCTCCAGACTCTCAACAGCTGTTGTAAAACACCAAACTTGGTAATCAAGTCTGACAAGAGGCCTACCTCCCTGCTTTGCAGGAGAGAACGCTGGCAAGGGATCTAGTTCATAACAATGTTCTCGAGTCAGAAATAAACTTTACTAGCAGTGGAGTTTGAGAGCAATGGAAAAATGAGAAATACTTCATTAGGTGTTAGTGGTTTTCTCCTAAACACAGCGCCATACACTAGTATTTCCAAGGTCATCACTCAAGCTCTGCACTGACTGACCACATCCCCTAATACTCAGAGCTCCATTAGAGACAGAGCAAACCACTGCAATGGAGAAGAGAGCTGGGATCGTTCCCCTTAACATCTGTCTCCCTTGACCTTCAATCAATATAGCTTTGTAAGTACAAAGACAATGAGAATTAAATTCAAGCCATAATTTAAAATTTTCTCATAGCCACATTTAAAAAAGTACAAAGGTGGTATTAATACCTTTTTATGGGGGCAGGGGGGGGGTGTCAATCACTGAGCTACATCTCCAACTGAAAGTATTACCTTTTGTTTAACATAATACATCCAAATGCTGCTATGTCAGCATGTAATCAATATAAAGAACTTTCAAAATTGAATTTTCCAGCCAGGTCTCAAGTACTCTATACCCACAGGTGGATAGTGGCCATTACACCAAATGACAGCCTAAACCCATTCTTAAACTTAACTTTGGTCAGAAGACACTTCTGCATTCAAATTATTGGGAATCTCAAAAAGACTTTGGGTGAAAATAAGTCTTATCTACACATAGTTATTGTAGAAAAATAAAACTTAGCCAGGCATCGTGACTTCATGCCTGAAAGCCCAACATTTAGGAGCTTTAGTATAGCCAGCATGGGCTAGCACAATAAACAAAAGCAAACAAACCTTTAACTTCAAGAATAGTTACTCATTTATAATCACATACATGCTACTTAAATATGAATATATGTTATGAAAAATAACTAAAATAACTCAGTGGCTTTATAAGTGTGTATATGTTATGTATACATGCATGTATGTATGCATGTATGTATTGGGTATATATGTACGTGTTAGAGGTGGGGGTTCATGACAGATTGAACCCAGGGCCTCATATATGCTGGGCAAGCAGTTGGCTACTAAGCTATAAATGCTGTGGGATAATGCTTTTTCTACACTGGTTTAATAAAAACGCTGATTGGCCAGTAGCCAGGCAGGAAGTATAGGTGGGATAAGCAGACAAGGAGAATGCTGGGAAGAGGAAGGCTGAGTCAGGAGATGCCAGCCATCCAGGGAACATCATGTACTGGCACACAGGTAAAGCCACGGAACACATGACAACATAGAGATTAACAGAAATGGGCTGAGTTTAAGCGTAAGAGCTAGTCAGTAGTAAGCCTGAGCTAGTGGCCAATTTTAATTAATATAAGCCTCTGTATTTACTTGCGGGACAGTGGGTGAGACATTTGTCCCAACCTTAGGCCAGGCGGGACACAGGAAAACTTCAGCCACACTATATCCTCAGCCCTCATTCATTCATTCATTCACTTT